GGGGGCAACTTCTACGCTAGAGAAAACTATATTTACGATTTTTAGAATGTCATTGACTGGGAAAAAATGAAAATCCATAGAAGGTCATAGAATGGAAATTGTGTGGACCTTTATTGGAAATAGAATGGATTTTGGTTATCCATAATAATTGTATATTTCCATACTATGTATATAGTATCGAAATAGTATGGATATACTATGGATTTAGTGCTGCAATTGCGAATTTCGTAGTATGGATTTCACTTTTTTCCCCAGTGATTATTAATTATTCTTTGGATATTTGGGATATAGGCCTTACTGCTCTCCTGGTGAAAAATTCCTATGTGCGGCCCTGACTGTGGCTAATTTAAACAGGAACATAAGTTACCCCAAACAGTGTTATTTTTAGATTTACCAGCCATCGTTTAACTCGATAACGCTGGAATATCCACTAGAAAAAGGACCTTTCCAAGATAGCTGTGCTAAATTATTCAATGAACTCCAAAAGAGGGTGTTGACGGGGGGTATATCGTGAGTCGTGATTCACTCAATTTCGGTTACCATCAGTCGTGAAAACCGTAAAAAATTACCGTGAAGCGTAAGGAAAAAAGTACTGTTTATCGTTACAGAACACTTTTCAAAGATTTACCGTTAAAATACCAAAATGTTACGGTATTGTTACCGTTAAAATGCCAATATTTTTACTGTTTACTGATTTTCAGACCCACCCCCATCCAGACCCTCGTAAAACGATTATAATACTAAGGCAAAACAGAGATTAGAATCTACTATTGAATCTACTTAGATACGGACACATATGTGTATTTATTATATAAAGTATAGTGCTTTGTGTCAATTGTTTAAAAAACGAGCAGGAGTGTTTTGTTACGTTTAAAGGCACGAGCGCGCAGCGCGAGTGGCTTTAGACTTCATAAAACACGACCTGCGAGTTTTTTAAATGACTTCAAAAACGTTTGCATAATAAGTCGACTCTTTATATAAAAATCTTTATATAGTTTGCATAACAATGGTCTTTTGTTAAAGTGTTCTTTAGGTGGTATAAAGACGTATGCACGTGACTAATTTCTTACTCTATTTCTTACTATTTCTTAAGATTGGATAATTGCTCATGAATTATTAATGAGTTTTTGAAAGAGATTTCGAGCATTGATAAAAGTGATAATTTCACATGTGAGATTATTTATGATAATCTCACATGTGAAAATTATCGCTTTTCGATTTTCGCTTTTCTGTAAAAATTATCGCTTTTCAAAGACTGTCCTTTATATAATAAACAGAAAAATACTGACATGCGTGCTTGGAAATACCAGATTTATTTCTCGTGTCGAACATGATATCTCGCTCGTTCGCTCTCACTCGACATGGGTGTTTTACTGGAAACTAAAACAGGTGAAATATGAAGAAAAAATGTAACGCGTGCTTAATAAATAAAATTTCAAGTTTGAATAATCGTTTCTTTAGATATGGCTGTTGGTGTCCAAGTTGGGAAGACGAGCAGCCATGGTTACAAGTGAACTTTAGCCGCATGGTAACCATAAGTAAAATAAAGACACAAGGTCGTCCTGATGCTGATGAATGGGTCAAATCGTATGAATTACACTACAGTTCAGATAATGCTGCTACATTCGAAGCTCATAAAGATGTACTTGGGGATGTTCAGGTAACACCAGGGGTGGATTTATAGGGGGGAGGGTGCACAGGGGTGCGCACCCCTGTTGGCTTTTGTCAACAGGGGCGCAAGGGGGGTGCAAAAAACTAAATTCAGAAATATGGGCCAATTTCCAAGGTTTTTCCTTTTTTGAAGTCAACCTGAAACTTATAATTCAATGCCCATATCACAGGAAATGACATTTTTAGGGTTCTAATTTTCAAAATGTTCCAGGGAGCACATCCCTGAACCCACTAGGGAGCTTGCGCCTTCGGCACTCAAGTCATTAGGAGGTCAATTCATTTGGATGCTCTCCCACCACCCCCTAAAGAATTATAACGAAACACTCAGCTGCTCACCCAGCACCCCCTAGAAAAACCTTGCTGGATCCACCCCCTCCGTAACACTTTGCCCCTATAAACATACTTTATTTAAGATTACAGTAGTAGGCAAGACTTCATTCCTGATGATGACTGCAAGCTAGTCGAAACGTCGAATTAAAAGTGTTAACTGTTTTTGGAGTGTCCTTTGTTTTTGTATTTTTTAAAGGACGACTTTGAATGATTTAGCAAGGAGAACTTAATTTTAGATAAAAGACCACGGAATGTTTTTAACAAGAAGATCTGTAGTCTTCCTTCAACAGATATCAATAGATATTTTATGATTTTAGGTTTAGTTGTATTAATATTATATACTTTATTTTGCTAACTTACACCAAATAATGGACTTTCCGAAATTTCTAAAATTGCTCTCTGGTTGTTTGAAGCATTTTTAAATTAAAGGGTTTTATAAAGTTATTGTGGATTCAACTGACTTCAAAGGGCCTTCGCTCGAAACATCGAAGTTTGTTCTTATTTTTCAGGTAGTTTTAACAAGCCTGCAATATCATTTTCATTTCTAGACGTATATTGGTAATAAGAACCGTGATACTCATGCCACGAATGGTGTCACACCAGTTATTTATACTCAGTTTATTCGCATTCGTCCTAAAACATGGAATGATCATGTCGGTTTGAGAGTCGAGTTTCGTGGATGCAATGGCGGTGAGTTGTTCTGAGATTCGTTCATTCATATCATCAATATTACACGATCTAGCATTTCAGTGATATCAAAATGCACTGCACTGCATTGTACTATGCCCCTACCCTACTCTACTCCACTCTACTCTACTCCACTCTACTCTACTCTACTCTACTCTACTCTACTCTACTCTACTCTACTACATTGCACAGCATTATACTGAATGTGCTGTACTGTACTGTACTGCACTACACAGGTCTCTGCTCTATTCTACTCATTTGTACTGGACTCGACTGATCTAATACCGTACTTTCTCATATTTTATGTCTTCATACTTTAGTAAACTATTGCTTAAACAATCCGTGCTTGAATTCTGGAGCTTGTGTGATGTATACAAATGGATTTGGTTGTTCATGTCCCTCCGATTACACTGGGAATGCTTGTCAAAGTAAGTTCTCATTGAAACTAGTAACCTGAGCATCAGGTCCTGTATTCGCTTCCTTAGCTGGATGGAAGGGAAAAAAGGGTCTGACACAAATCCCTGTGCGGAAAGGGAAAGCGGAAATCCGACTTTTCACTTGATTGGTTAATCAGATCTGGTTTTTGATTGGTTAGTGGTAATTAGATTATACTATTATTAGCAGTTTTAACTATAATTAGATTGTTGCTGTTTAGCTGTGTGAAATTGACAGAATATAAATTTTGCTGTGGGTGGAGAGCGACCTGATTAAGGTTTGTGTCACCGTGTCAGGCTCTGTTCGTAAAATAGAGCCCGATACTCAGGCTACACTGAAACCCAATCAAATTTTACGTTAAGTATTGCCTTCATAGACTATCTTTCAAGTCGTAAACTTCAATCAAAATTTACGTTAAATATTGCCTATAAAAACAGATCAGGTCTTTTTCTAATGATTTATACCTTTTTTGTATGGTTACCTGAACGTTCCTATAGAACAATTGCTGGTCGAAATCTAGAAATTCTGTAATCTACTTTCCTTACAGCTTACATCACCCCTCCTCCCACACTTCCTCCCACCACCTCATCGGGAACCACACTCCCTCCCACCACCTCATCGGGAACCACACTCCCTCCCACCACTTCATCGGGAACAACACTCCCTCCCACCACCCCATCGGGAACCACACTCCCTCCCACCACCCCATCGGGAACCACACTTTCTCCACCATCTGCACTTCAAACTACCCAAAGCAACATTGGTGGAACAACCCAAACCAATCTTGATACAGGTCCAACTAACCCCCTTACAACAACTTCGTCAGGAATAACCGGGTCAACTTCAGTTCCTACCGGTTCTGTATCAACAACTATGGGCTATGCCTCAATAGCAGGCTTCGCGCTAAATCCGATACCCGCTCAGGAGTTTGGTCAAAGTTTTTCAGTCGGATGGGTAATGACCGCAGGCACAAATGTTACAGTCGCCATAGCGTATAATGGTATTCCATGTTGCAATGCGATCGCACTTAGCAACACTGGTGGCCAATGTGATTGCTTAATATCGGTCCCAGGCTTATTTGACCCAGACGGCGTGGTGAATATTAGCGCTGTAGCCTCAAACCTAGTGTCCAGTGTCCCCGCATACATCCAGATCGAAGTTTTAAAAACCATCACCCAAGTGTCGTTTACCATGTTAACAACTTACTCGGACTTTGGAACTGGGGTCGAAGGACGTGGGAGCCAGAAAAACATATTTCCAGCGGAATATCCTGTGAAATTTAATTGTTCCTACACAGGTAATTCGATCAGCGTAAATCTGGGCGCATACGCCACCATTTTAGTCGCCTGTTATATGGTATTATTATTATTATTATTGTCATCATCGTCACTATTATTATTATCATTATTATTACTATCATCATCTTCATTATCGTCATCATTTTCATTGTCATCATCTTCATTGTCATCATCTTCATTGTCATCATCTTCATTGTCATCATCTTCATTATCGTCATCTTCATTGTCATCATCTTCATTGTCATCATCTTCATTATCGTCATCTTCATTGTCATCATCTTCATTGTCATCATCTTCATTATCATCATTTTCATTGTCATCATCTTCATTATCATCATCTTCATTGTCATCATCTTCATTGTCATCATCTTCATTATCGTCATCATCATCTTCATCATGATCATCATGGTCATCATTATTATGATTATCATTGTCATCATCTTCATTATTATTATTATTATTATTATTATTATTATTATTATTATTAGGTGGTCCTGTAACAGATGTGGAATGGATATTTAATTGCGATGTCGATGGTACCATCGAAGAATCGCAGTTCTTTTTTGACAAGATCTTTTCAAGCCAGAGCAGTCAGAGTTGTCAAATTACTTTGAGACTACAAAACAGTATCAATTCAACACTTGCACATGGTAGCATAGAGCTCAAAGAAAGCGTTATCGTCACCAGTATGATCAGCAACGGCCCAGTAAAACTAAATGAAACCATCGCATTCACAATCTCTTTGGAAAAACTCGGCACCCAAACCTGCATGTGGGTTGACTTGGGTGATAATAGCTCCCTTCTCGTATTCGGTGACGACTCTTGTCCTGGTAGGATCGATGTTTCTCAGGTTAACCCAAATATCTTGTTGGAGCCACGTTTGAAATTCTCCTTCAAAAGTTCAGACACCCAGGAGATTGTCATTAATCATGTGTATTCGGTACGTGTTGGTTCTTATGACGTCAGGATGAACGCGTCAAATGATGTTTCCATGGTAACACAAGAAATGGTCGCCGTTGTTCAGCTTTTCGTTTGTCGTAACCCCAACGTGACAGTAGTAGGTAATTGGTTACTTATTGGTTTTTCGTGGCAATTACTGCGTGTTTCCCAAAACTGCATTTAAGGATATTGTATTGTAACGTCACTACAAGGAGAAACCCAAATTGGAATACGCCCCCAATGATTTCTGAAAATCTTTGAATGATGGCCGAATAACTGTTTAACAAAGCTGTAACAATTTTTCAACCATGAAAAGATTGTTATTTGGTGGGCTATGAATTAAGCTAAATATTGCATTAGCTATTACCATAGCTGGAAAGAGCTTCGTAAAATGAGTAAAATTGCAAAGTTTGGTTGCGAAATGTTGTAAAGTGAAGAAAATATAGCGCTGTGCATTTCGCAAATTTTGTATATACTTGCATTACGCGCGAGAAAAATAACCATTTTTGAGCCGCAAGTGGTTATTTTTACTGCGCGTAATACAAATATATACAATATTTGCGAACTTCACAGAGCTAGCAACCAATTTCTTCACAGAGCTAGCTTCACATTTAGCAACCAATCTTTGCAGTTTTACTCATTCTAAGACGCTCTTTCTAGCTGTGGAGTTGGATTTCGTTCTTCTTCCCTTGATCAAAATTTAGTCTGCAGCTAGAATCGCCCATTATTAATACTGTTTTATTTTTTCATTACTCAGGTTTATCCCCAAATTCGTCCAACGTCTTAAATGCAGCTCAAGTCTACCGCTCGATGCCCATAGCTTTGTCAACCGAGAATGTTATAGATTGCGAGATGACGGACAGAACGAAAACAAAGTGGACTGTATTCAAATTTGAGGACGATCCTCGCGTTCTGAGAACGGTTCCCATTTCCAGTTTAAGAAAGACAGCGTATCACTCGGATATTTCTACCTCGGAGCTTTTACTCCCCGGAAGAGATTTATCATATGGCTTCTACGAGATTAGTGCCCGGGTAGAAATGACTGGTTTACCGGATGTATTTGGAAGTGATTCAGTTTATATCCAGGTGGTGCAGACTCCTTGGCTTGAGGCTGCTGTCATTGGCGGGTCATTTTATACTGCGCCTTTTGGATTTATTGTAAGCTGTCTATTTATTATTAATATACTCTAAAAACATCCTGATAATATAACAAATTAGAAGGAGGTCCATTTTCGCTAGATGTACGAGAAGCGATGTACAACGGACCGGTTGTTCAAAGCTGGGTTAGCTTAGGTTAACCCAGGTTAACCTAAAATTCAAATTAAAGCAAACTTCCCCACAGCTAGTCTATAAATTTGGAAATATTTCTTCAGAAATCTTGGCTGGGTCGATAGACGTTTACTTTTCTGAAGTTTTGAAATAAACAGACGTGTAGAAATACACAAACTAAAACGGCAGATTAAATTTTAACCCAGGGTTAGCACTAACCCACCTTTGAACAACCGGTCCCTGGTTAAAAATTTTCTCATCTAAAATGAACCCTCTTTGGGGTAACATAATGTTCCGGTTAAATTTCCAGGTTAATTTAACCACAATCCTGGTTAACTTGTTCATAGTTCTGGCTAATATAACCAGGCTATATGGTTATGGCTGAACCAGGTTATGTTAGGTGCATTATTATAACCAGGAATTCGTGGTTAATAGTAAAAAATTGTGAACATTTTTATTCTTTACGTTTCGACTATAATTTAAGTCATCTTCTTTTTCTTTTTTCTTCTGAAGATGACTTAAATTATAGTCGAAACGTAAAGAATAAAAATGTTTACAATTTTCGAAGTGTCTATTGTTTTGTGTTTTATTAAAATACTCTATGGCAACCGCAATTTTTCAAACATTAAGCCTTGTTAAATTAGGCACGATAGTGATCAAATTAACCAGGACTGTGGTTCACGAAGTGATTTTTTCAATCGTTGTAAAATTGCTTGAGAAGTGATACGACTACGAAATTATTGGGGTTTTTTTCTTATTTCCAGGGAATTTTAAATTCCTCCGCGTCTTCGGATCCAGACTTTTCCGCTACAGATGGCATGAGTTCTGTTTGGTATTGCAGAGGTGGTGAAGATCTTGAATTCATTTCATCGAACCTAACTCATGAACCGCTTGTCTCCAACGATGATCCCGTTCCCCTGCTAGCAAATGAGGTAAGTGAGTCAACAATGTGGTTACGGGTTCATTATTACAGTCGGTTTCACAAAACGTTTATACCAAAATGTCCAAACTTCGTTCCGAAGTTCGCAAAGTTCGTTTCGAAGTTCACAAGTTCAACATTGAAATTCACAAGCCGGTTTGTAAACAAGACCTCTGATTGGTCCATGAATTGAAAGAAGCCAATCAAATACTTAGTTTACAAATCAGTTTCTGAACTTATGAACTTGGAAACTTCAAACTGTGGAACTTCGAAATGAACTTGCAAACTTTGAAACGAAGTAATTCGGAACATTTTGACAAATGTTACGTGAAATCGACTGTAAGGCTCCACTTCGACCGTATCGTATCGTAACGTATCGTAGCATTTTCTTTTGTGTCGAAGTCATTGGTTCCACTCTAGCGCTCAGGAAACAAAGAAACACGCTACGTTTCGGAACGATGTACGATTGAAGTGGAAAACTGAAATAAGACAGATTTATAGAAAGACGACGAGGCAAACACGACGACTCAATTTCAGCTCCAGATTGAGATCCAAGGAACTTGATTAACATAAGAAGTTGAAGCTTTTTAAAATATCTAATTAAATTTCTAACTCAGATTTTTAGCTGAAAGAATCGAGGTTTTTATCAAATTGGTATGGCTAATTGGCAGCATTTTTGCATCATAGCGCTCGGGCAAGGAAGTAAAAAACTTTTAAAATCTTATGTTTTGCCATATGTGTGGAAGATTACCACAAACTGACACAAACATAGTTTCTAATCCAGCCCCCAATCTGACGTCCGCATTGGCAAGAAGATCGCTTGCTTAATTAGGCTGGTTAATGTTGACTGGGATCGCTTATTAATCGTGTGTTGAGTTTGTGCTGAGACAAATTGGTCAGGTGGTAGAGCTTTCTGGTATGCCAATAAGCCGAAAATACCGCAGTATTTAAGTAGAAAATAGAACCAGTTATAAGAAGCGACTCTGCTAGATTTCATACTAACTACCTGTTTTATAATAACTATAGCCTACTACAGGCTTTCTTATGTATGTTTTTTTTTATATGCCGGCAGGATAGCACATCACTTTATATTCCTTTCTTTCCAGTCTCGTGGCTGTTTTGGATCGGGTCGAGGACGCATAAATACTACAAATTCTACACTTCAATTGGACACAAGGAAGATGATTCAGAAGAAAACGTAAGTCGTTCATGGAGTTTTCAAATACCTAATACATAACCATTCCTCATCTGAAAAATTTGGCATTAAAAAATCAAAAAATCATGGGTTGGATCAGCCATGCACTTATGTATAATATATCAATTTGTTTTTTTTAGTTATGTTATTCTGCTTGTGGTATCTACAAGTCATCCAGAGTTTGGTATCCGTCAAGCTATGACCACAATCTTCTTTCGTGTGGAGTCTGGAATCCCACCACAGCTGCAAACCAGGTACGATATACATATACTTAAAATATGTTCAAATAAATGCCGCGTTCAAACAAACTACTCATCAATGATGCCCCGATACCATGCAACAGTGTTGAATTTGTGGGGTAAAATCGCCAGATTTATCGTAATTGAAAAGGTGTGCTTTAAAATATTTGTGAAAGAAACTATACCGTATAAAATCAGTGGTGTAACTTATTAAACTTAACTACACCTTTACCACTTGCCATCATGCAGGACAAATGAAACATGAATAAACTGGTTGCCGGAATAAAATCCACATTGGTTGCCAGAATAAAATCCACTTCGCCTGCACATATTAACAACATTTGAAGCAAATAAGGATTCATTAATCACCATTCGAGTATCATGTTTTCCTTTAACCAATTCAATTGAAGATTTGGAGTGTTGATTTCAGCTGCTTTTGTTAATAAAGAATAAAAAAACAGAATAAAAAACAAAATTTGAATATTTTTGGTTCGAGTCAATGTGTTTGATCCGTTTGAACAAACCTTTTTTAAAACCTTAAAAGGTTTTAAGAAACCTCTTTCTGTCTGTCTTTCATTGTATACTTGCTTTTTCCCGTTGTTACAGCTGCTACAAAAACTGTAAAGATAAAATAATTTCTGATGAGAAAACTATACTACAGTCGGAGTGCTCGGCATTCTGCTCTGGAGAGTTGACGTTCAGTTGGTCGTTATATTGTTACGACGACATCAACACCCCTGAACCTTTGAACTTGTCGTCACTGCACGAAGTTCCTCAAAGTGAATTTCAGGATATGGTCTATAATCCAATCAATGAACTGGATCTTGCTATCAAACCTTACTCGTTACGACCTGGCAAGAAATATACACTAGCATTCCGAGCTACGCGTCCGACTGGTGCCTTTGGGGAACTGAGAACTACTCTACTCGTGAATTCGCCGCCAGCTGGTGGTAAGTAGGGCCTGCCCAGGGACGTCCCTCTGGTGTGTGTGTAGGGGGCGGGGGGGGGACACCTTGTAAACCTGAAATGTTCACCTTGTAAAAAAACACACCTCACAAGCATTCAGTTTTCAATCAAGAATTTGGTGGAGTCAAACCTTTGAAAAGTTGCCCAAAATATCAGGACACCCCTCTCCCTACCCCAATGTTAATGACTTCGCGGCGTCCCTGGGCCTCCTTCGACAGTCCAGTTTTGCATGTGTCAAAAATAATTCTAATTAGATCTAAGGAATCTATAATATTTGCACTCGAGGTTTTCATCCACATAAATCCTTCATCATATTTGGTATACCGAGCGAGATGCAAGGACGTCGCGAAGTCATCAACATGGGGCGTCCTGATAATATTTTCCATTTTTACCAATGTTTCCAGCTTAAAAATTATTGGGGACGTCACTGGCGGGACAC